ATATAATATGATATATATATATATATATATAGGTGTTTGTATGTGCTGTATGTATGTTATATGAATGTATCTATATAAACAAATATATATTATACATATATATATTATATAATATATATATATATACATTAAATATATACATATGTATTTAAGTATTGTAATAAATGTTATTATCATATATATATATATGTATATATGTATATATATATATATATACGTATACCATATATGTATAAATATCTATATATACATATAAGTATATGTATGTATTATTGATATATCTACGTGTGTGTGTGTGTGATGTGTGGCATATATATCTATAACTCTTCTAGATATAGATAGACAAATATATGTAGGCTATATAGATTATACATCATGTAAGGTAAATTAATAAACGAATCATTTATCATTTACATACTGATATATATATATAATATATATATATATGTATATATATCTATATATTTATATATATACATACACACACACCCACACACACACACACACAACACAACCACACACACCACACACACACACACCAACACACACACATATAATATAATATATATATATACATAATTATTATATAACATAATATCTATCTATCTATCTATCTATCTCCTATATACATATATACTGTATATATAGTATATAATATATATATATATATATATCATATATATTATATGTGTATATATACAATATTATTTATTATACATGTCGCATATAGATATGTAAATTAATCAATAAATACTCATATCTTCCCTGTGTGTCGTCTGTTCTTTCGAACACGGGCAAAGCTGCAATGAGCATTAACTTCCCCGCCGTTGAAATTTATTTATGGCAGCCTGTGCCACTGATGTCCCCTTCTGGCAGATACAGCACACCAAACTGACGATCCGCCTGACAAGAAATAAAAAAGGAAAGCGTCCAGAGGATGATGACAAAATATCCAATTCAGGAAGTATCATTCATAGCTTCGTGTAGCAGACATCAGGGAAGGCTTTTGTTTGTATCTTTCCTAAATCCGTCACAATTTTATACTTCTGTAAACACGTTTGCCCCTTACGCGCACATCACTGACATCTGTTGAAATATATTTCCTTTCTATTAGCCTCCACTTAACCAGCAAATCGGAGCGCCATATTCTTCATTACATTTCATTCATCTCAACATTTTGATAAAATCTAGATTTAATAACGGAAGTCGATGGAAAAACTCGGCAAGATTTTTCAACGTGTCCGAGTCAGAATACGTGATATACGACCGGTTTACTAGAATTGTGGGAGGCCCGACCCAATGAGCATTCAGTGTACAGACATGGATATACACAGAAATAAATGCTCGTCAGATATATAGATAAATGTATATTTATCAGATATATAGACAGATGCATATTTTTCTGTATATATGTATGTCGGGTCTCGCACAATTTTGACTAACTGGCCAACTGACTTCGGAGGAATTATTATTTTCAAAATCTCTTCTATACCGATATAACCCAACCTTAAAAGATTAAAAAATATCAGGGAAAAGAAATTGTTTGCTTTAATTTGTTGATATATTACGTATATAAAGCACAGTCGAATAGGTGTGCAATAGCAGTAATATATAGGTAGGCTACAGGAATAACCCGTGGATAATAAATCATTATAGTTGTGCGTGCCTGCCCGTAACTGAAAATTTAACAGTTTACAAGCACTTTAGGAGCTATGCGAGGCTGTCAAACCAGTAATAGCTTCTGCTATTGCAGTACCCTATGACGTAGCGATGACGTGGTAGGGGAGTCGGTCGGATGTGACGTTTGGCCGCTAGGTTATGACGTCGGAGGTGGTAGATGATAGATACCAGAAATGGCAGGGTTTAATATGATTTAGGCAAAATATATAGAATATATTGTTTACTTTTCTTGCACTCAATACTTAATATATACATAATATATATGATATATGTAAACAAAATTGCTTTGGACTGTAACCCTCTAGTGAAAATTTATTTTCTGAAGGTTGCTAACGCCATTGAATTTTGAGATTATTGAGAGGGAATAAGAGCAAATATTTCCAGCTTACTTCAGAGGTATTTGATATAACCCAAATATACACAAAAACAGATATCTTTATAGCGATTCTTGGCATTAATATGATGTCACAGCCCCACTCACAAATCTTCGAGTATAAACCAACGACTATTTGGTGTAGGCCAATACAAATGCATTTTGACAAGTCTGCGGACAATAATGAAACTTAAAAGATGGTTGCTTGAGAGGATTACTAAATGAGCACATAAATAAGCCTTTAAAAGAAAACAGTTGTGACATCACAGTTTCTGAGCCAATCACGACTCGAACACAGCCAGTCACAGGGCATCCAGTCATTCGGAGTCGGTTGTCGCGACGGCCCTGGAGGTGAGCCAGCACTGAGAAGAACAGCTGACTGGAAACGAAACTTCTCCCCACATTTTCCCCGTGAGCTGCTGGCCGTTGACTGCTCGTTTACGGCCAAAAGTACCGTTGAAATGAGAAAATAAGGGCACCGTCCCGGGAGGCGGGCGCAAATGAGAATTGAAGGTCAATTGGAGTTAACTAGCGTATGTATAGGTACACGAATGAGGAAAGTACCAAATGTGTAAATATACATAAGAAATGTGCTTTTCATCGAGACTCCCTGGTAATATGTAGTAACATGATTAAAAATATGTGTATTAAGTACGATGTACAATTTTTTTTTTAATAACTGTATATGTAATTTTCCTTTTTGACTTGCTCTAACCGTCCGTACCGTCCAGAGTCGGTAGTTTTGATTTGATTTATAGCTGGTCGTTTCCGCAGTAAAGACCACTTCAATTCGAAGGGCACCTAGAAACCGGATCTTTGAACTTCGGATATATAAATGAGATATCGATTATTTTATGTTGAAGATGACAGTCCAGTAATACCCGCTCTGGTATAAATACCATATGGAATTTTGAACGGCCTTATGTGCGGTCTTTGTAAGGAGTTGAAATAGCTATCGCATCTTTTTCATGCGTTTCCGATAAAAAAAAAAAAAAAAAAAAAATGTTACAGTGGGCCTTTGGTGCCATAAATATGCAGATACTCAACCACATCTTGGCGTCCGATGTTTTATTATGCACTTCTTAGCAAAGGTAACGAGTGCAAATGACTGAACACCAACTACACTCGTCTCCAGTTCTGAAACTGTTACTTTTCAAAATCGTTAAAGAAAACGATTTGACAGGGATAACTAATACTTCTATTCCTTTACATAGAAATCAATGTAGACCTACTAAATGAGGATGAATGGCATGGTTGACCTTATATGCGTGTGTTTACATGTTATATTCATGCAAGGGCTATATAAATAGAATGATTTTGTACTGATATTGCCATCCACAGTTCTCCATTTCTTCATAACTGGAATTCCTCTCCCCCCCCCCCAGCCCCCCAAAAAATTAACAATAGTAATTTCTGGTTTAGACAACATTTCTTTGTGGTTTATAGCAATCATTGGGCGTTTCAGACAAGACTGTCTACTTTTATATAAAAAAGAAAGACAGCTTTACAAAATATCGTCCCTATTGAAAACAATAACTTTGACTGCCATGGTAATAAAATCTCAAAGTACACTACATATATATATATATATATATATATATATATATATATATATATATATATATATATATATAGTGTGTATTTTGTGATATTACCATGGCAGTCAAATTATTGTGTTTAATAGGGACGATATTCTGTATATAGCATCATTAGATTTCCTGAAAATAAAGAGAAAACTAACATTGACATGTGTCCGAACGGTATTTTCTAATCCATGTCTACACCTCAGATCTCAAAAGAACTGGATCGAGCATCTTCTGTTTTATCAAATGTATTCATGTAGACAAATGTAGAAAGATATGAATGAGAATGAATATCTCCATAATACAAGAGATGTATTTGACTGGTTTCGAATATATCTTCGTCAGAAATACACCATGTATTTCTGAGGAAGATATATTCGAAACCGGCCAAATACATCTCTTGCATTGTGAAGATATTTATTCTCATTCATACTTTGCTACTATTCTTTCATTTTTGAGCCGACGGCGGCCATCTTGATGGGACTACTTTGCAGTAGGGTTATATTTGTTAAGTTCACTTGGAGCAGAGAGATTAAGAAATCTTACATTTTATGATCATGTGTGGTATAGGCAGGATATGGTGTCTCTGGAAGTTTTTAAAAAGGTTATTTTGTGGTTACGTAACTGAGGGGGAGTGTCTGCCTGAAAAAAATACTAAAAAATAAAATTAAATAAAAAAAAAGAATAATAGAGAAAAAAAATATTTTGGCAAGATTCCTCTTTATGTCATGGAAGTTTAAAAGTGGACTTTGCAAATATGAATATTCACCTAACACTTCTGGTGCACCGCCCATATTATAATGCGTGTTTCACAACTTAAATGATGCCTCTTCAATGTGTATGGATGCTAGGGGAGTGTTGCAATGTAACGAACAAATATATCATCATTTAGCAACGTTATATGGAAGTGCCCACTACCATTACAGAGCTGTGGTGCACAAAGTGGTCGATCTTGGCTTCAAACTTTGCCGCCCGAAAACACAAGTTTCTTGATCCAGTTTTATCGAGGTCAGAGGTTTGCAAAAGCTTCTGTACCATCCAGCGTTCGTTAACTTGCTATGTTGCTTTCCCATTAGAGTGCGCTAGGCAAGCCGAAACCAAATTTTTCAATTTCTGAATAAAATTACTAAATGGAGATTACGTAAAACTGAAAAATAACGCAAAAAGTAGGGCCCAGTCCACCAAACAATTAAAGGAAATTTACAAATCGGGCTTCAACTTGCCCTGAGCATAGGTAGATCAAGATTTTTTTCTTTCTTTCTTTTTCAATTAGGGAAATATTACGAGCTGTGGACGCATCCCAGTCATTTTCTACTTTTAGGGCACTCACGCCCCCCTCCCCCACCCATGGAAGAGCCGGAATAGAATGATTTATAAGTGTTTCTGTACTCTATAATAGGCAAAAAAGAAAAAAATCAATTAGTTATCTTGTTATGATCAAATAACTGGCGAGGTATTATTACAAGATATTAAAGCTAAAATGAGGGACCCTATACTATATTATATATATATATATATATATATATATATATATATATATATATATATCGAAAGTTTACACAGTCTTATATACTTTCTTATGTGAAATAAAGAAAATAACTTCTTTCATAACCTACGTCAATATACATTCGAAGTTTCGTGATGCTACAGAAAAAAGCTAGTAGTCTTTATCAGCATCCCGAAACACCAACCACTCTAGGACTTTTTTGTAGCAAAGAGTTCCGTGTAATTAATTGCGGATCGTTTTTTTTTTTTTCTTTCTTTTTTATATAATAATTGTATAAATTTTTATTAAATGTTTCTGTTCTGTTTTGGAAGTATGTGAGATCCGTGTTCATTCTATATGGGTAAAATTTGAATTTCATCATGAAAGTCTTCGTATATATATATATATATATATATATATATATATATATATATATATATATATATATATATATATATCAATGAAAAGTCTGCAAATCTTGTTTTGTTGATATATGTCAGGCATTGAGACCAGTAAATGCCTATGATTGTTGCAATCATCCTTTTGAGTGGCATTAGGACTTGATGTGAACTTGGATGCGAAAGTCCAATCAAAATTACTTCCACTTCCCATATGAAGAACAAAGAATGTACAGTAATCAAATGGAAAATTAATTTGTTTGAAACACAGAAATACATTTGAAAGTTTACCCAGCCTTGCGAAGCGATACATATAGCACTTTTTAATTTTTTGCTCGTTTTAAAAAAATAATACCATTGTGTTAAGCAATATCACGGTATTCTAGTTGCGGTCTTGTGTCAAACAAAAAAATAAGGACTATTTTTAAACTTTGCCCCCCCCAAAATTGATAATCTCTTGTGTTACAACCGCGAGCCAGCAAAAGACCAATAACTATATTCATTACTTACGGGGATATTTTTTTGTTTTCCCACTTTTCCCATGACTATCAGAGTGTCGATGTCAGTCAATGTTGCAGCTTGGTGGCAGAAGAGGAGCGCCAACAGCGAACTCAGGAACCAGATAAAACGGGAAGCCATCGTCACCCGCTTCTCTGGAAGCACAATATAGTTTCAAGGTCTACATTCACATGTGCATACACACTTACATACATACACACATATGCATTACAAATATGTGCACAAGTGTATATACATGACATAACAATGTAGTACAAAAGTACTATATCAATAAATTTCTCTCCAAACGTGTCAGTTCCAAGGAAGCGTCACTGTTTTTTTTTTTTTTTTTTTTTTTTTTTTTTTTTGGGGGGGGGGAGCTCCAGCGGACAGAACACTGAGCGCGAATGAGCAAGTGTATGGCATAAATGCAGGCGCAAGAGGTGATCTTGCTCCTCTGTCTCTCGTATTGGGGTCAAAGAGGTACGTGATTTAGACCTTGGAGGTTCAATAGGGCCCCTGTTCATAAAATTCACGAATAAGGACCAATCACAAATTCTATGTATCCGACAAGCAGTGAATGCCGTGAACCCCATCAACAGCAAGGGAGTGATTGTTCATTTGCTGTGTGATTGCAATGAAGGAATGTTCTAGAGCATCAAAGTCCTTATGGATTCCCATTCCCAGATGAACAATATCAGCTTTGTTGCAATTACGGGAATGGTAAGCACTCAGTCATAAAAAAAATACAATTTCGTGAAAATCTGTGCTTGTACTAAAATCAAAACATGTTTAGAAAAAAAAAAAATATATATATATATATATATATATATATATATATATATATATATATATATATATATATAAGTATGGAGTATGACTGTCAAATGAGCAATTAATACTTTTAGAGACAATTACAGCATTTGCAGGTAGTCATCCCCTGGTGCTGGACCTTTTGTCATGAGGACAGGCTGTAGGAAGCCATCCTTGCCTCTAACGCCATGTTGGTCAGCAGGTGATGGATTATGCAGAGATTTCAATGCCCTTTTCCATATTTATGCCTGACAGTTTGCACGTTTAATATGCAGGAGCAGACTGTCTGGTGTGGGGGAGATTCGTTTCTTTGGCCTTTCTGACGAAGCAACCAGTGTCTGACCTTTTTTTCTGGCAACCTCGGAGGGTAGGTACATGGAACGATCAGAAACTTCAAGATACGACTTTGTTCAGCTCTGCGTACTCACCAAGCAGTCTTAGTCTGCACTGATGCTCCTTCAAGTCCTAGTAGAACCTTGCAGACCTGACCTAGTCAGGGAGTGGACCAGTACTGCAGGCTGTCGAAGTGTGCGGCACATTATATAGCTGCATGAGTGGCTGGCGTGCGCCTGCGTGCGTGATTATCTGATTGGCCCTGCCATTTGACTTGCTTCAGGAATCCTTATCTGGGTGGTACCAACTAAGAAGTTACAAAGTCTTTAGATTTGT